CAACACTTTCAGGTATTTTACAAGTACAAAAATGTACAGTCAACAGAGTAATAAAAAAACTGCACAAATAAAAAGGGCCTCATTTCTAGAAACAAGTTGCCCAATAATGCAGAAGGCTTCATAAAAAGCCATATGTTTGGCTTTTCACTATAAATTTATTTGGTAGGTTTTTCCAATTAAATAAGGTGTTCAGGGAAGATGAAAGACTTGCTCAATGTTCAAATGGTTGTTTACTGGGCTTCTATGAATGTTTTTCATGGAGAGTCTTATCCCAGAAGTTGCCACAGCAATCATGTAAGATGGTCAACCAAATTGGATAGTTTGGATTTTACAAGAACATTAATTCACTGCATTTGAAAAGCAGCAGAGAAAATCTTGCCAAACATCTGTGTGGATTCTCTAGTCTTGAATCGAAGATTGCCATTTTGCTAAAGAAAGAGATGTTCTCTACTTGAAAGAGGTAGGGAAAAAAATGAAAAGGAGAGAGAGAGAGAGAGAGAATATTTGTCTTTCAATTTCAATATAAATTGAGGCCAAATTTGTTTTTTTTTTTTTTGTTCTTTTTCAGTCTTTCTTTGAAAAGAAAATTGGGGAAGCAGAGTTGGAGGAGAAAACATCATTTGTTTTTTTAGTGATTAGAGGTGAAGCTCATTCTACAAGGCCATTTATTTTGTGTTCGTTTATTCTTGATTTTACATCTGCTGCAAAAAGAAAAAAAAAAACAATTATTAAACAATCTTAACAAAGATACACGGTGTTAACTACATAACAAACTAGCAAGATTATCTGGCAAGGTCCAGATTTTTGTTTTAAATAAATTAGGAAAAATAATATTTTTGAAATGCACCGATAATTTAGACTAGTAGGGTGTGCTCATAGTGTTTATAGTTACTGATGCGGAAAGTAGAATCAACAATCTGACTTCAAATTCTAGCCTAGTCTGTTGCATTTACTTTTGCATTAATTGCAAAGACATAAATCCTTCCCTTCTAACTACCTCCACCAGCTATGGGTTAAATAGTTGGGTAGACTGGGATCTCTAGCCTTGGAAGGTAACAAGTCTAAGAGAGGAACAATTCAGAGTTCAAAACCATCGAGAAGGGAATGGAAAACCACTCCCCTATTTTTCCTAAGAAGTCATGGTAATTCATAGATATTAAAGAAAAGGTACCTTGGAGAACCATGATTTCTTATATTCTGAAGGGGCAGGGTATTTTTTTTTTAAGTCTAAAATAGAATTTTAAAAAGGCACAGAGAGTGCTTTTTTCACTTCTACAATTTTTAGCAATAATTATTTTGAAAGAAACCCACAAATCAGAATGTTTAACAGAACATGCAACCCCCCCAAAAAAAACAAAACAAATATTTTTCTCTTAATGCTATTATTACTGTAATACTTCCTTGGTAATTTTAATGTTTTGAAATGGTATTTTTAGAATTTTAATAAGACCCTAACATATGGAACTGAATAATGAATTCCACCTCACCTTTTGGAAAATTAAAAGAAGAAATAATCCAAGGTTCTTATGGTTAAGATAATGAAAAAGAAAAATATATAAATTCAGTTTCATATATGTTTTTATTAAAATTCTAAAAACAACATTTTAAAACCAAAAAAATTACCTAGAGAAGTTTTTATTTAATTCATTTTTTTCCCCAGTCCAAAACAAACCAAAAATTTAATTTGCAGATAGTTATGGTTAATTACAGATTATAAATTAATAATTTTGTCAATGAAGAATTGAACAAATAAATTGTGTTTAACATTATTGCTGTCAGTTCTTGAGAAAAAAAATATAGTTATTTAAAACAAAAATTACTGAGCTAGTAAACGGTATTAGTAATGTAAAGAGATAAAAATGTCTTTTTGATGGACCTTTTGTTTTTTGGCCTGGTTCTTAATTAAACGTTGCTGAATTTTTCTAATTGATTGGTAAGTTACTAGACTTGAGGACAGGAGATGCTTCATTTCTGAAATTTGCATCAATGTTTAGTCCTGACTATTGCGGAATATACAGTTGTTTTTTTTAATATGTTGCCCTCATTCCACATATCCTTTGTATATTGATATATATATATATATATATATATATATATATATATATATATATATATATATATATATATATATATATATATATGTGAGAGAGAGAGAGAGAGCAAAGAAATGTTTTGTTTTTGGTTTGCTCCCTACACAAGTGAGATGCATAAAAATTAATATTACAGAATGTAAACTCAAAGAAAACACAGTTTCATCTGCAAACCATTCCCCCAAAGTTTTCTTTTTTTCACCCCCAAGCAAGGTGGTAATGCCACTAGTATGCAGGGGGTTATGGGAAGTTGAAGGGAAGACTGAGAATAGAAAGGATTGAGGAAAGGACAAAAGATGAAAGGGGTTCAAGAAGACAAAAGATGGCGATTGACGTATTTAAATTTTAGAAGATTGTATTTATCAGGGAATACAAGTAAACAGAATGGAGTTCCACAGGTGGGAAGTGTGAGAAAAGAAACTGTTGGAGTAGAAGTGGTGGCTGCATTTAGCTATTTCAATGGCTAAAGAGTAGCATATAGATGCGAATCTAGTAGCACACTTAAATACATGTAGTCAGGGTACCAGGGGTAATAGCTTATCAGAGAAGCTGTCATGAAAATATTTGTAGAAAAGACAGAGGGAAGCCATCTTATGTCAGTGAGAAAGTGACTGAAGTTGAGGCACCTGGTCAGGATTGATTACATTAGGTTCCCCCAGAATAAAACTGCACAGTTCATAGACTCACACCATCACTGTTAACATTTTCCCCTTCTGTGACATTCCTTTCAACTGGCCCAGGAAAAAAAATGCTGGCTATATGCTAATTTGAATGCATGTTTGTAAATCCTCTCTCAAGGATTACTCTCCCAAACATTATGTCCAAGAGTTGGCTACAATTTCATAATGCAGACATGGATATATCTTTCATGGCAATGCGTTCAGCCTATTACAAGTTAGTATTTTCTGCACAAAAAGAAAAATCAAATGCAGCATATTAGTGCATCACTTGCAATCAACGAGCAATTAAATATGAGTAGTCATTGTCCACATCGTAACTCATTCTTGCAGGTTTTCTAAATAATGATATAGATCATTTATGTATTCATTTTTATTGCTGCAACATCTGGTCTGGTGCTTCTGTTACAGAATTAATACAAGTAAAGGGTTTGTCATTTCTCTGACTGATTTTACCTTCAGCATCCCAACTCAAGAGTTTTGTAGACAGACCTTCCTGGAATCAGTCTGTGTGTGTGTATAATAGCTGGCCACTCCTATTTGAGGATACTCATCTAATAGGGCAGCTAGCCAATCCCTAATTCAGATGCTCACTCACACACATTTGTGTTTGTTCAACAGCCACAGAGCCCACTTGTGGTTTATACTACAACTATGCTGAGCAGACCTTAGTTACAGTTTCTGGGAGAGAGTGTGTTATCTAGCGTGATCAACAATCTGAACAAGGCCAGCACACTCAAACCCTCGGTCACGATGACTTGTGACTTCATGCTAGCACAGCTATCGATGGTCACCCAAGTGTTCCATCTACTCAATTTCACTAACAAGGCTTGGGTCAACCCATGGTATGGTTTTCAGGCACTTTCCAAAGGTGCCACACGCTGGGATCATCCCACTCCAGACTGATAACATCCAGAAATCACCTTCCTGACGAATCAACCATGGTGAGATTCAAACCCGGATCTCAATGTCAGAAAGCAAATGTTCTAACCACTCGGCCAGAACAGAATGGGTAAATATAGGTAGGTATATGAGTGAGCGATCATATACAAATACTCTATAGTGTAATAAAAAACAGTGCTCAATGTTAACTAACTGAGCTATTTAATATATATATATATATATATATAAAGAAATACACATAATATCTTATTAATTGCACTGTAATTGCTTTTTTTTTTTTTTTTGCCGGGTATCGGTATGTTCTAGGTGGAGTAATTCAGATGAAAAGGCTCCATATCCCGGCAGCAATTACTGTATATTGTTTGTTGGATTAATTACAATGATAAAAGTGCTCAACTGAAAGCAGCAAAATATAACTGAATGGGTAAATACACATAGTTATACGAGCATGCGATCGTATACAAATAAAGACTCTATAGTGTAAGAAAAAACAGTGCTCAATGTTAAGTAACAGAGCTGTTTCAGTTAGTTTAGTAATATTATTAATTACTCTTTTGATTTTTGGAAAAAAAATAGAGTTGTCCCCCCTTGATTTTCTAATGCCCCTTTTTTGTTTACTAATATTTTCAAAACCAGCGTCTCCCTAATTTAGAATTTATATTTCTTATTTCCAAACTTATTTTCAATCTTAAATGTTAATGTGGGCTTAATGTCAAATTCAAAATTAAACTAAAATTCATTTAAATATTTTAACTCCAATAATGTTACACCCTAATATATCGTGTGGACCAGAAAATTTATAAAAAAAAAAAAAAAAAAAACAGTCTCAAGCCAAAATTTAAATAAAAATAAATATAATAATTCCAGCATTTGAAAATTGCTTCAGCATGAAATTCAGAGTTGTGCAATTAATGTAAGATATTATGGATATTTATATATTTATATCTGTATCTATATATGAAGAAATACGTTTAAGGTGTGCTATATTTATGGGATAAAGTGCTCAATATCAGAGATAGAGTGTATGTAAATATAAAAGTGAACATTGAAGTCAACCCTTAGAGGCGACAGGCTGTTTTCATGATAGGTGCAATTGTCAGGCCATGATTTTATATATATATATATATATATATATATATAAGAGAGAAGGATTTGTTTTCTATGGCTTGTAAACTTCTAATTAACCCATAGCTAAGAGAAGACATGGGTTCATGCCTTTCCCAAGGGTAATTGCATATAAGTGACTATACTGAACCTGACTGGAACTGGAACTCAGCTCTCTGATTAACAATTCCAAGATGCTATCCATTACATTATCCACAAATCCAAGCTTACAGCAACTGGTATTCCCAAGTGGTCACCCATCCAGGTACTGACCAGACTTGATGTTGCTTAATTGGTGATCATACAGGAACCAGTGTTTCAATATGATATGGCTGTAAGCGAAAGAGAGAGATTCTTGACAAAATCCAAAGAAGAATCTGCAATGTTATCAGTTCTGACCTGGCATCTTGGCTTTAGTCACTTTCCAACTGCTGTAATATAGTTTTCCTGTCTTTTCTATAAACATTATTTTGATGTGCTTTCCTCTTTGGCACCTTGACATCACAAATATAAACACAGTACTAAATTGGCAGTTAGGTCTCATCATTTTAATGCTGAAATTGATCGATATTACTGTAAGTTCTGTGCTAATAGTTTCTTCTCCTGCACTTCTCACTTGTGGAACCCTTCTGGCTTTTTTGTCAACTATTATCTTCAGAATGTAAATCTAATGTCAATTGTCATCTTCTGTCTCCTTGAATCCAGTTCTTTGTCCTCTGTTTCTTCCATTCTCAGTAACCTCCTACCATCTTGGTATATCATCTTCATTCGAGTGAAATGATTAAAAAACATAAAATAAAAAAATTTGACCAAAATGGAAGAAGTAGATATCTACAAAGAATCTTTGACAAATTTTACTTAACGAGATAAAATTGAAAAACACTGAAAAATCAATAAATAAAACTCACCTGCTGATGGCTGGCTTTATCGTCTAGCAGATCATCCTTTCGAGAAGTTTTCATTTGCTTCTTTTTTATTTTTTTGGTGAGGGGTGGGGGGGAATTCCTTTGGCCTTCAAGACAATCATTTCCAAATGTTAACAAGGTTTAAAAAAACAAAACAAAACAAAAAAAAAATCAGTGGAGACTAAAAAGATATGATCAGCAAATAAAAGAAATAAAAAAAGGACGAGGGAGAGAAGAAGCCCATTGAAATGGACAGGATTTCTATATAAACTAAAGCCAGTCGTTCTATCTCTTCTATGCGACTGAATCAAATACTTATTCTATGCAATCTGATATTACTTATTTTATGTTACAAAAGATGAAGTGCTGAAAAGTTCTGCCCTTCCACATATGACCAACAAGTTAAAAAAAAACCAAAAAAAAAAAAAAACCAGTGATATTTGGTAACTTGGTCAAACAGATTTGGGGGTAGTGGGTCAGGTCGAGAATTTTTCAGCAACCCTTCATCGATAATAACATCTAAAATAGGCATGACAACGTACTTCCTGTGGTCCTAACCAATCAAAATGGAATCAGAGAGAGACAGAAAATACCAATAAAAAATCTACTAGACAACTAATATTTCTACCCAAGTTCTTAGATTATTCAAGGTATTTTAAAAGTTACTTTTGTAAAACATTACCGAAAGATTGAACTTGTATTTTCATAAGACAAAACTGAAATAAATGAATTTGATAAAAGTTTTAATGTTTCAATTGACACAAAACACAAAACATATATATATATATATATATATATATATATATATATATATATATATGTGTGTATGTGTGTGTGTAAAATGGTTATGTTTTCAATAATATCCTTAAAAAAAAAATTTAAACTAAGAAATTAATGCTTTTTTAATGTAATGTCTTTTAAGCAATATGATGTCTGTTAATAAATTCACTCATATTATCTAAATCTCTGATAAGCAAATGAAATTGGGAGATAAATTGTCACTTAATTTTATTACATATTTGCTGAAACCACTTGAACTGAACAACTATGAAAAAGTTTGTCTATGAAACTCTGAAGTTGAGGTGATGAATATAACATCTATCAGCTAAGTAACAAATTTTATTTGTATTAATCCTATATATATAAAATTTGTTTTATTGGAGAAAGAATATCAAGGCAGAGAGCCATTGTATCATTTGAAATCTTGTAATCTTTTGAGAAAATTTAAAATTTTTTAAACTACTGTTTGTACATAAACTCATGCAAATACAACTAAAGTCTTTATTTTCACAGGAAAAAACTAATTCCATTTCATAATTATATTCTTAATTTTCTTTCTATTATTTTTTTTTATATACTTTGAATAGATATTACTTGATTGTTGATCTTTAGTTCACAAAGTTAAAATAATGACCAAAAATGGTGTGTCTTGGAATTCTTTTTAAATCTCCAGGATAGGTCACTAATCAAGAGAAGCGATTGCATTAACTGTTTCTGGTAGATATTTGTTGAGCAATTCAAACATGGGGTCAGGCCAGTTGAAAGCATCATTGTCCTTGTATGGCACTTGAGAGAGAGAGAGAGAGAATCCAATATGACAACCACCAAGAGTGGGAGGGGAAAAAAAAAATCGACACTCTCACCTTCACTCCTCGGGGATGCTGACCATAGTGAGAGCAAAAGTAATGAGGGAAGGGATCTCCTGTCCCAGCTTCCACGCGAGATCAAAGAAGAAGATGAGAGTGATGCTCACTTCATCTGCAAAGTGCTCATAATCAAAGCTGTCCACCAAGAGGGAGATGATGAGCATGAAGACCATTGTAAATGGCTATCATGTGGATCCTTCTCCAAGGGTTAAAGCAGAATTGGCAGACAGAATGGCCTGAAATGGTGTCGAAGACCGTAGTCGGTTGAGGGCCTCATAAAAGAAGAAATGGTTATCTTTGGGGCACAGACTTCTTTATGATCTACAAAGATGAGAGAAAAAAAAAAAGAAAGAAAAAGTGAGGTGAGGGAGAGAAAGAAAGGAAAGAGGAAGAGGTGGTAAAAAGTGGAGGAGGAAGAGGAAAAAAAACAATCACAAAAACAAATTTTAAGCAACATTGAGCTTGGTCATCATCTAGATGGGTGACAGCTTGGGAATACCAGGTGCTGTAAGCTTGTGTGTGTGTGTGTGTGTGTGTGTGTGTGTGTGAGTGAGTGGTGTAATGGATAATGGCTTGGAATTGTTAATCAAAGAACAGAGTTCCAATTTCCATTGGATTCGTTATATTCACTTACATGCAAATACCCTTGGGAAGGGCATGAATCCACCTCTTCTCTAGCTATTATTTTTTTTATTGATTTGTTTTCTAAAGCTTATCTATTTTTTAGGTTATTTAAAGCCAGAAAATATATTTAGATTGTAAGAATTTATTTTATTATTTTTTTGAGATAATGGTTTGCTGATACATGTCTTACTAAGTAACCCATAGCTAGGGAGAGTTGAGATTAATTTATCCCTTTCCCAAGAGTATTTACACATAAATGAATATAACAAATCCAACTAAAATTGGAACTCAGCTAATCCAATTAACAATTCCGACCCATTATCCATTAAACCAAAAGATTTTTTTTTCATCATCTCAAATAATGGAAATATTTTTGTTTTAAAAGAAAAAAGACATTTCCTGTATAAATCACTAACTTTTCTCAAAACAATGCCATGCCAGTTGTTGATTATTTCTTATAAAAATCTATAACAAACAATATCAGCAGGAAGAGGATTGATCGCAGCACAATACACATTTGTATGGAAAGCCGAACAAGAGAAATCTATCTTTATGAACAGCAAAAATCCCAGAAGGTTAACCAAGTATGACAGACACCCGAGGAATGCTGAAGGGTATAATGGCCGAAACATTGCAAGTATAACGACCAAGATGAACATACTGTCCTGAATGGAAAGGTATATAGAAATGACGAGTCCTCATCTCAAAGATTCAGACATAAATTATAAATCTGTGAGAGGGTGGGAAACATTATGTTTGGGTACTAAATAAATTCTATCAGTGTTATAATGAGATACAAGGTGACTAATATGATACAATCCTGCTTTGAGATGACCTATTCGATTCTTATTCTTTTATCTGTATCTATGAATATGCCTAGGGATTGAACTCACAACTATTGTCACCAAATTCACAGACCAATGCTTTAATCCACTGAGCTATTTTTTTATGATAATTAAGATAAAGATATTAGTCCACATGTAATTGATATAAATAATGATAACTGATCATCCCAGAAATTCAAACAGATAAGGACGTTAGTTTCAGAGACTTACCCTCAAGAAACATAAAAAATAAAAAAAATAATTAGTGATTGGTACTCAGTATATTGGTACTGTATGCTGACCTCCAGGAGGGTGATTCCTTGCGCCTTCTCAAAGTAACATTTTCAGACAACATGAAGTGGAAAGAGTCTATTGAATCAATTGCTAAGTTTGCAGATAAGAAAGTTTGTTTACTATAACATGCAAGACAATTTTTCTTGCTAGAATCTATCTGACATATTTATAAGTCTACCATTCATACTTGCTTTGAATATTGCTGCCAAAACTGGTCTGGTGCTCCTGCTATATATTTAGAGATTTTTGATAAAATCCAAAGGTATATCTGCAATGATACTAGTCCTGACCTGGCATCTCAGCTTCAGCCTCTTTCCTATCACCATAACATAACTACCTTGTGCCTTTTCTATAAAAACCATCATGGTAATTGTTCTGATGAACTTTCTGCTACAGTACCTAGACTTAACGAATTCAAGAGCAATACTAGATTGATGGCAAAATCTCATCATTTTAGAGTTGAAATGGCTAGATGCAACTGTAAGTTCTATGCTAATAGGTTCTTCTATCACACTTCTCGCTTGTGGAACTATCTTCCAGTTTTTTGCTTTCCAGTCAACTTTGATCTTCAAAAATTTAAATACAATGTCAATCATTATCTTCTGTCTTCTTAATTCTTGTCCTTTTATTGTCCTCTCTCCTTAAGAGTAGTTTTTTTCTTTCACTCAGTAACTCTTTGCATCCTAGTGGCTTTATTGTCTTCCTTAGGTTGAAATGATTAAAAGAAAGAAAAAAAGAAGACTTCAGCATGATAGTAAATCTTGTAATGTAGTGGATATTGGTAGCTCATTCAAATATTTTCCTTCTCCATTTCCTGCAATCACTTACATAAAGAATGCATCATCTGGTTTTGTTAAACAGGCTTTAAACTTCTAAAATGGTCATGTCAACTTCTACGTTTATTCACAGACTTTTTTTTCACTCCCAACAAACTGCCGAGTTAGAACAGATTTCCTGATATATCCACACTATGTCAGATTTTATTATGCAAGTCAATGTCTCCATAATAAAATTGATATTAGCCAATTGACAAGAAAATTTTCA